ATTCTCTATTGGCTTCTTTAACAGTGTTCTGATAACGATGCCAACAGTCCTTTAAGATTTAGATTGAAACATGCAGCTTGTCCTTCTTCCACCTGCGTTCAGCTTTGCAGCACTCCCATCGAGCTGCACGAGTTCTGTCACTGAACCAGGGCTCGGGTTTCACTTTACGCTGCATTGTTTTTAATGGAGCCACAGAGTCCAGAATGGTTCGGCAGGAGGAGTGGAATCAGGAGCTGAGCTCCTCCATGTTAGCAGGCATTGAGTCAGAGGGGACACAGAGCTGGTTGAACGCAGCAGAGAACTGACCAGCAGTGGAAGGGTTAAAAGTCCAACAGCGCTGAACAGGATTTAACTGCAGTACAAGAGAAACCAACTTCAAACAATACGGGCATATGATCAGAAATGACATTTTCACAGATCTCCAAGTTAAATACAGACAAACCATGAGAAAGAACGAGATCTAATGTATGACCATGTTCGTGTGTGGGACCAGACACACACTGCACCAAATTTAAAGAGTCAATAAGGCTTAAAAAGTCCTTCACCAACGGCTTATCAGGACAGCACACATGAATATTAAAATCCCCAAGAAAAAGGACACGATCGTAGTTTGGCATGATTTCAGCCAGAAAATCCAAAAAGTCTTTCACAAAGTCCTTATGGTACTTGGGGGGCCGGTAGATGACAGTGCACATTACCGGGTCGGAGCGAACCACCTCAAATAAAGTCACTTCGAAGCTGGAGAAGGAAAATGACACAGCGCACTGCTTACATTTAAAGTCAGTTTTATAAACAGTCGCCGTTCCTCCTCCATGCCCTGACGTCCGCGGGGAGTTAAAATAAGAACAACCAGCCAGTAAAAGTTCGACAAGAGCACTGCACTCACCAGCACCGATCCAAGTCTCTGTCACACAGAGAAAATCCAGGCCACGGGAGCTGAAGAAATCCCTCAGGATAAAAGTTTTGTTTGCCAGTGATCTGGCATTTACCAGGCCAATCCTGGCAGGAGCCGGGGCCTGTGTTTCGGCGGATCGGGGAGCCCGGAGCAGTGTCTTCAGGTTCCGGAGATTCACCCTGATTCTGAGAGAGCCGGGGAGAGCAGGGGCGGCGGGGCCGGAATCCCTCAACCAGACCGGTGACAGGTACCAGGCAGGCGTCGATCGGGTCCAGGAAACGCCAGGGCACAGCGAAGGGAAGGGATAATCCATGTTCTGACTGGGAAATGGACAAAGATCGTGCCAGGCAGACCTTCAGCTTCACCAGCCAACCGCCGCATTTACCGCAGCGACGGAGACGCTTCCGCCAGGGAGGTAGAGCTGAGGCCCGGTAAAGGTGAGTCGGGATTTCCGACAGGAGTGGGGGCAGAGTTTTCTGTCCACCGTGATCAAATACACCTAGATCTCTGACATTATGTCTCAGATCTAAGAGGGATTGGCGATCATACACTGGCAGAAACTTGATCTGTACAGTGCCAAGGATTAAAAACAACAAAAATGCCAGCCAAAGTGGGAGCAGCAGACGGCCAGCCATACACACAGACGCCATCTTGCTGATCAACACCATGGTTTCTGTTGGTGTGAAATCATCGCTGATGGTGTCTGCTGTCCTTTGATTGCCTCTGATGGCTTCTGATACTCTGTGGTGATCTGTGATGGTCTCTGATAGTCCCTGATGGTCCATGATGACGTCTTATGGTCTCTGATACTCTCCAATGTCTCTGAAGTCCTATGATTGTCTCTGCTGGTATGTGATGGTCTCTGCTGACCTCTGATGGTCTCTGGTGGCTTCTGATGTCTCCTGGTGGTCTCTGGTGGCCTCTGGTGGTCTCTGATAGCCTCTGATGGTCTCTGGTGGTGAGCGATCATCTCTGATGGCCTCCGATGGCATCTGATGGTCTCTAATGATCTCTGATGGCCTCTGATTACATCTGATGGTCTCTAATGATCTCTTATACTCTATAATGTCTCTGAAACCCTATGATAGTCTCTGGTGGTGTGCGATTGTGTCTGATACTCTTTCCTGAGCTCTGATGGTCTCTTAGGTTTTCTGGTTGTCTCTGATGGTCTGTGGTGGCCCTTGATAGCCTCTGATGGTCTATGGTGGCTTCTGATGTCATCTGATGTCTCCTGATGGTCTCTGATGGCCTCTGGTGGTCTCTGATAGCCTCTGATGGTCTCTGGTGGTGAGTGATCATCTCTGACGGCATCTGATGGCCTCTGATGGCTTCTGATACTCTCTGGAGATCTATGGTGGTCTCTGATAGTCTCAGATGGTATCTGGTGGCTTCTGATAGTCTCTGATTTCCTCTGATGGCCTCTGATCATCTTTGATGGTCTTGGATACCCTTTGATAATCTGTGATGGTCTCTGATGGCCTCTGATCATCTCAAGTGGTCTCTGGTGGTCTCTAGTGGCCCCTTATGTCTCTGATAGCCTCTGATGGTCTCTGGTGGTCTCTGATGGCCTCTGATATTCTCTGGTGATCTGTGATCGTCTTTGATAGTTCCTGGTCGTAACTGGTGGCTTCTGATGACCTCTGATGGCCTCTGATGGTCTCTGATACTCTCTAATGTGTCTGAAAGCCTATGATAGTCTCTGGTGGTGTGGGGTCGTCTCTGATACTCTTTAATAGTCCTTTGATAGTCCCTGATCGTAACTGGTGGCTTCTGATGGCCTCTGATGGTCTCTGGTGTCCTTTGATGGCCTCTGATTGTCTCTGATAGTCTCTGATTTCCTCTGACCTCTGATTTCCTCTGATGGTCTCTGATGGCCTCTGGTCGTCTTTGATGATCTCTGATACTCTTTGATGATCTGTGATGGTCTCTGATGGCCTCTGATCATCTCAAATGGTCTCTAATGCTCTTTAATGTCCTCTGATGTCATCTGATGGTTTCTAATGGCCTCTGGTGGTCTGTGATGGCCTATGACATTTTCTGGTGATCTCTGATCGTCACTGATAGTCTCTGATCGTATCTGGTGGCCTCTAATGGCTTCTGATGGTCTCAGCTGGTTTCTCGTGGTCTCTTGTGGCCTGTGATAGGATCTGATGGCATCTGATCGTCTCCTGTAGTCTCTCATGGTCTCTTATAGTCTCTGATAACCTCTGATAGTCTCTGATGGTTTCTGTTGTTTTCCTGTGGTGTCTGATGATCTCTGATGTCCTCTGATGATCTCTGATGGTCTCTGGTGGTCTCTGATGACCTTTGATGGTCTCTGATATTCCCTGATGGTCTCTGATGGTGTCTGAAGCTCTTAGATTCATGTGCATGTCAAAATTTGTAGAGTACAGGTGAAAATAGATTAAGAGAAGAGTTATTTCAAATATAGATTTAGGTGGTTATCTGTCCCCCTTACACACTTTTTGTTTCACTTTTTTGCATTGAAATGAAAAATCTCATATTTTGCACTGCCATCTATTCTTTTCAGTCAAAAAACAATGCCTGAAAAATGATAAAGCTCATTTTTCCTTTTAAATTGTCTTATATGTTTTTGTTTTTCCTGTACATTACATGCTACAACTTTTACATTGAAGCTTTTCTATTTTCCATTTTTGGAATTTTAATTTCATTTTTCATTTTTGAATGCAATTATAACATCATAATTTACTTTTTTACTTTCTTCTTCTATTTAACACTTCATTATGGCCTAATTATACTAATTTGTACGATATAGTAATAGTTAATAGACCAGTTTGTCTTTCAGTTTCCCTATTGATCTTGATATTGAGTTTTGAATAAATCCAAACATGAGCCTTTAAAGGGCCAGAGTGTAATATTTGGCCTGGTTTATTATCAAATCTGAATCTGAATCTGAATATTCTACCCATTAATATGTTTATATAAGTGTACAATCGCTATAAAATAAAATTCGTTTGGTTTTCGTAGCCTTATAAATATGCTTTTATATATATATAGCAAGGGCCTTGCTTTAGAGAGGTCGCCATCTTGCGCCGCCATGTATGTACGGCAGACCAAGCGGACAATCCAGCCAGCCAGAGAACGTGTATAAATAAACCAACGAAGACAGCGGAAGGAAGGAAGGAGGAGGAAACAGCAGAGAGTGTTAGTAGTTCGTAGATGGAGAGTAGTGAAAAGTTTTTTTAGTTATAAAGTTTGCGAATGGACCACACTTACCACGCAACAGGAGAGAATGAACCTGAACTGTCATCTGCGAGGAAAAGAAGACGCAACTTCACTCCTTGTGATGCACTCTCTGCGGTGCTTTTCCTCCTGATGATATATCTCCCCAATGATGGTAGCACCAAATCCCATTCTGTGCAGCAAAATGTGAGCGGAGGATTCAGCCTCTCTTCTCGCCCGCTCAGCATCTAAGTTCCTCATCTGTATGCTCCGGCTCAAACAGGTATGGCTCTGGGTCTGTGTCCGCTACAAGAAACTCTTCAAAATCGCGTTCAAAGTCGTCCATTGCAGCTACTATAGTCCGGAGATATTGCTAGGCTAAATAAACAGCTGAGCTCTGTTTACAGGCTACGCTGTCAGTCAGTGTGCCGGTGGGAGATTGGTGGAGCAGAGAGGGGAGGGGGTCCCTGCTAGGTATTGTAAACAAGTATGTGTGTATGAAGTGTGTGTGTTACGCTAGAAGAGTCAGAGTTTGGGACGGAGTCTTTTACCCCCTGGAGTGTTACCGGAGTTTTTGGAGTGCTCAAATAAATGGGCCTTTTTCCCGAACGCTCCTCTGGTCTCCTGCTCGAGAGGGATTCATTACAATATCGTAACATGGTTTAGATTTCTAAATAAACATTCACCTCGTCGCTAGATAGACCTACTCCTGAAAAAATTTTGTCTGCGCAAGGCTTTTTGTCCCTACGAGGCCACCGTCATTTACCCGATGGGAGGGGTGAGCGAGTGAGCCCTGCAATCTAGAATTTGACCACTGATGTCACTGTTTTCAACGGTTTTCATCCCATTTTACACACTGGCCCTTTAAAATGGAAATTCAAGCCTTTAAATTCATGCCATTTCTTTTGCCTCCTTTTCTCAGGTGGTGTGGTGACAGCAGGCCTGGCCATTTATGACACCATGCAGTATATCCTCAATCCTATTTCCACCTGGTGTGTTGGCCAGGCAGCCAGTATGGGCAGCTTGCTTCTGGCAGCAGGAACATCGGGCATGAGGCATTCACTTCCCAATGCCCGCATCATGGTCCACCAGCCTTCAGGAGGTGCCAGGGTAAGCTGTTCTCTTCACGTCCTTTGATTCTGTGATCTGAAATCCAGCCTGTAAAGGTGATCATTTCACTGAAAGAGGAAAATCATAATGAGAGCGCTTTGTGTCCAGGGTCAAGCCACAGACATCGCCATCCAGGCAGAGGAGATCTTGAAACTGAAGAGACAGATCAATAACATTTATGCCAAACACACAGGACAGCTGCTTGAAACCATCGGTAGGTTCCACTCATGTTAGTCATAGACAGGTGCTTAAGTGGGATTACTAGTTCACTGTGTCACAATAGGAGGCTACTCACAGTACACACTAGGGCTGGGCGATAAATCGATTTTGTCGATTAATTCGAATTTGCAGTTTAGGCCGATTTGTTTTAATGAAAATTGAGTTTCTATTTAAAATCTGCCACTGCCGCTCCACGCTGGGCTCCCGTAGTTCAGAGTGGGCTCAGCCCTCCCCCCCGCTTGCTTGATACACAAACATGGCAGCGAGCGGGGAGGAACTCCTTCTCAAGAAAGGGAACGAGTTCTTCAGCGCTTTTGTGTGCTCACCTGTGTGTGTGTGTGTGTGTGTGTGTGTGTGTGTGTGTGTGCGCGTGCGCGCATCAGGGCCGAACTCCGCTGTGCGACACAGAGAGCAGAGGAGGATTTTAAACACGCACCATGTAGGGACAGAAATGACATGCCGTCGTGTAAATAAGATAAATAAGTGTTACCAACGCCAAGCTGGCAGACCCCCGAACCGTAGTAAAGGGACCTCCGAAGACCATTAGCTCCTTTAGCTTGTGTTAGCTTGTTGTTGCAACAACACATAAACAACAGGACTTCGTCTGCGTTAAAGAACGGCACTTTATTTTCAGCACTGCAGGGATGATGCACAGCCTCTCTCATCAGTGTCTGACTTTTACATAGAGGGAAATAACTCAAAAACAGCATGTAGAACTACGTAGGCTTCTTCACTGTGGCTGCTCGATGTAAACAACAGAGCACATGCCTCACTTTCTTCCTGGGGCGCATCCGTCTGACGTCACACACCACATCCGGCGCACTAACGTCTCATACCTCCAACATGAACTACACACATACACAACTACACACACACACACACACACACACACAAGCCACACACATCAGGCTCAGCTTGTAACATAAGGCTATTTAGTTTGTTTCTTATTCGAAAAATTGTCGAATAGTTGCCATGATTTTTGAATAGTGAGATCTGATGCAAGAGGAATTTGTGATAAAATGTCGATTGCTATTTATTAACACTAGAACTGCCAATGGATCATTTTTACCCCCCTGTCATTTTGAAATGCTTATAACTTTGTCACAATAAAACTCTCATCTCTCTGCAAAATGCAAGCTAGTTTTGACAGACAGACAGAAAGAAAGACAGACAGACAGAAAAGAGGAAAGGAGAGGGATTGGATCGTGTAGCCTAATTATGAACCAGAGAAAATGGATGAATGTCGAACAAGCTCTGGCAATGCTTCAGGACAGAAGTGACGGAGAATGAGATGGGGGAGAGGTGATTGAGAGAGAGACGGATGGGGGGAGACACAACGGTGGAAATGAGAGAAGAAGAACTGGATGAGGGACAGGCTGATGATCCGTCCTTTTCACCAGGGGAGGAGGAGTCATCTGAAGATGAGGTAGACTCACAGACGCTTTGCTTAACTAAAGACTGATGTCTTTCTCCCTGATTTTGTGTTTAGATGGGCGGATACAATTTCAGAGTTTAAAAACCTCCCTACGTTGCAGAACCAATAGTAAAACCGCAGGGTGGTCCTTTGGTGGCTCGCTGAACTCTTGTGCTCGTAAACATAGTCCGACTGTGTTAAAAGTCTTAAACAAAGTCGCTGTAAGTACTTCATTTCCACAATCTTGTGGACTGAGCACACGTTTGATAAAATGGAGTTAAATCTCTCGGCATCCATTTTCAAGCTTTCTGTGTGTTTGTTTCCTTGCGGACGAGAAAAGGCGGAGCGCACATTTCTGGGAGGGCGTGTCCTTTTAAAAAAATGCAAGAGGCGTTGCTTTGTTGCCAGTGTCCTGACAAATAGACCTACCGCTCAGAATGACCTACCAACACGATGTGCGCATGTGCAGAGCGGAGAAAAAAAATTCCAGAGGACACGCCCAAAACTTTAAACTACCCGGGATCTTCACAGGTAGGAAATATCCATCAGAATGGACTATTAGCTCTATAAATGTAATTATAAGTAGAGTAGCTCATTCTGTCAGGTAGGAAATATCCATCGGAATGGACTATTACCTTTATAAATGTAATTAATATAACCACATTTATAGAGGTAATAGTCCATTCTGATAGATATTTCCTATCTGACAGAATGAGCTACTCTCCTTATAATTGCATTTATAGAGGTAGTAGTCCATTCTGATAGATATTTCCTACCTGACAGAATGAGCTACTCTACTTATAATTACATTTATAGAGGTAGTAATCCATTCTGATAGATATTTCCTACCTGACAGAATGAGCTACTCTACTTATAACCACATTTATAGAGGCAATAGTCCATTCTGATAGATATTTCCTACCTGACAGAATGAGCTACCATATTTTTTATTACATTTATAGAGGTAATAGTCCATTCTGATACATATTTCCTACCTGACAGAATGAGCTACTGTACTTATAATTACATTTATAGAGGTAATAGTCCATTCTGATAGATATTTCCTACCTGACAGAATGAGCTACTCTACTTATAATTATATTTATAGAGGTAATAGTACATTCTGATAGATATTTCCTACCTGACAGAATGAGCTACTCTACTTTTAACCACATTTATAGAGGTAACAGTCCATTCTGATAGATATTTCCTACCTGATAGAATGAGCTACTCTACTTATAATTACATTTATATAGGCTGTATGTCTGTATGTCTTACACATATCTGACCTGAGTAGCTACTAAACAATGTTTTTGCCAGGGTAGGTCA